CTCCTCTCCTCTGCTCTGCTCTCCTCTCCTCTCCTCTCCTCTCCTCTCCTAGAACCTACCATCCTAAGGTGACTGGTGTTTGGCTCTGACAAGGGGGTTTCCCACAACCCACCCCTTTCCTCACACTGGAGGGTTTTAGGTAGCAGGCTAATCTTATCTCAGGGCAAGGAGAGGGCTGTGGGCCAGGTAACATGGTCGGCCCCTGTCTGACCCTCATCTGTGCAACACGGCCCCCTTACCTCTCTTCATCGTGTATTATGATGGGTAAAAATAGAATATGACAGAATATGGAAAATGACATGGCAAATAAAAAATGTGTTATTTGAACCTGCTAAAATCAAGCAGACTAAATGAATGTTATACCACTGACACTGTACGTCAACCCAACAGAGGGATTTCTAATCTGTTATCTGAGGAGACTGAGAAAGAGACAAACCAGAGACAACTTACTGCTCTCATTACTATCACCGGGCCAACACAGAATCTAATACAAAGTCCAAGACTCCCACAGCATAATATGCTTTTAAGATATATATTTTAATGCATCATGCATTTCATCCAAATCCAACTGGTAGACTTGCGGCTCTGCTTTAGGTTTTAAATATATGCCAAAGCACATCAATTTTGGTATGCCATTACTTGTGGGGGAAAATGTACCAGGCACAAACTGTGACTACTGTATAGTCTTTGTCTGTGTTATTTATCGTATTAACACACGCATCACGATTTACCAACATAAAAGCACAGAGAACACTTCATTGCGACTTAATTTGCACGCAGAATTTGATTGTAATTAGCACCTAATTTACTAAGGTAGCAGCTCATTACTCAGTCAGCACCTGGGACTGCCCCCGTCCTACCATGACTGCATTTAATGCTTTTTTGGTGTGATTCTTCAACAGGGATACAGTCGGCGTGTCAGAAAATCAAAGTTATAAATTCAGAAACCAATTATTACTGGGGCATTTCTTTAGTACGCAAGGTGTTGATACCTTTCCACGGCACATAATGATCCTTACAAACACCTCTTGCTTTTAGCTATTTTACATTTAAACTCCTCATTATTCTCTACAGGTCCTACCTGCCACATGATGCTATTACTGGCTTGGTTGCTTCAGTCACATGCTGGTGTTGACGTGTGTTTTTGTGCACTAGCTCAACTACCCCAATCCCCCTATAATCTGCATTTCTTGACAATAAAATGTCGTTTCAGTGGCATCCTCTAAATATGTCTTCAAGTATGTTCCAGTATAATTGTATGTGTCTTTTTACCACTGAGGATTTTGGCCTGTTACAGCTATCTATCTATATATATATATATTGTAATAAAACATTTTTGAGATTAGAATGCACATTTGGGCATTCATTGTCCATCATTTCTAGCTTTCTGGCTCCTTAGGAAACTTTAACAAAATAAGCTACACCAATGTCCTCACTGCATCCATCTCTTCAGTATATATATGACACATTTTTGACAAATATAGTATTAACTTACTGTATAATATCAGGGAGAGGCAATTTTACTGTTAAACCCTGTTTCTGTTGGTAGTATTTACATAATCACCGGCTTGAGCTGTCCTCTGTCCATCTCTTTTTTATTTATTTATTATTTAGTGAACTGTGCTAATTAAGTCATTGATGGTTCGCCTGTCACACCCATTTAGAAAAGCATCTCTATCAGGACAGCACATAGACACCTATAGTCTCTCTGAATGAGTCTCTAGGATAGTGGCTTTTGGAAGCTTTCCTTCTTTGGAGACCTGTTTTTGATTTTTTTTTAGAAATGTTTCTATTTTTATTGTAAGTGTTGTTTTTGTCTTTTTTGTTCATAGAGGAAGAAGGAAAGACACATGAAATGGATTTACTATTATAATCATTATAATTATCATCATTACGATTACAGCCGATAGGAATATTTTTCTACACATAAAACAAAAAAATTGTAGAAACTCATGTCACTATAATACAATCGGTGATGTTTCGGTTTTCTTTGAGCATGGTATCGTGTATATTGCAGGAGACAAAGTTTCTTTTTCTTTTCTTCCCTTTTCTCTTTCTCACGACTTTGTTTTCCTTCTCTTGCTCCTTGTCAGTCAGTCAGATGCTGTCGTCAGAGGATCCACTGCTGGGTCTTGTGACAGGCAGGCAGGGCCAGTGTGAAGCCGAGCAGCTATAAATAAAGAGCCTGCTGCTGCTGCCTCTGTTGCTGCTGTTGGATAGAGAAGATAGGAGGACAGACACTTAAAACCTTCTTTTTTGTTTTTTGAAATTTCCTTGAGACTACCCCTTAATGTCTGATTTGACAAAGCTGTCATATCACTGGTATGTTACCGTTTAAAGTCACAGGGAACAAATATGGGAACTTAAATTAACATTGTTAACTGTTTCTCCGTGCTTGACAGTTTGACAAAGATTTTAGTTTTGTGGTAGTTAAGTTATATATTTATTCAGTTTTTCAGTTGGTTTCTTATTTGTAGACAGGTAGGCCCATTCAAGAACATGGGGAAGTGATGTGTGATGATTTCACAACCTTTTCCTGTACAGACTATACTGTGGTTTTAAGCTAGATTTTCTGAAGGATTTAATTTTTAGTCTTTTCCTTTCACACTAAAGCAGAAGTTATTCACCATAGCTTGAGGGCCAAAGACAGGACCTGACCGGAAAGCCGGTGTTAAATAATGCTTGCTTTATTTAATTTTTTGTGTTACTATTTGCAATAGGTTATATGGTGTATTTTATTTTGTTCTAAAGTTGAGTTTTGGTTAAGTGAGTGGTACTGCGAAAAAGTAAAGAATGAGCTTTAAAGTTGTGGCCTCTGCTGTACTTAGTGCACGACACATACAACTTAATTATGACAAATGAAAATCAGCATGAGAAGACAATTCTGATGTTTCTGGATAAATCAGATCCATTCTCAATTCCTAATGTGTTTCTAACGTGAAAATGTCTGAAATTAAATTTTCTCATGTGAAACACTGGGAAGAGGGGTTACTCCCAATGGAGCAGCAGTGCATAACTGGAAGTTTATCAATAACCTCTAACAGAGTAGTGCCAATGCGGACAATGGGCTCTTGTCTATTTGTTTGTGTGTGGGTGTGTGTGTTTGTGTGTGTACTTACTGCCTGTGCCGGATGACCTTTGGTATAAATAGCCTGCCGGCGCTAGCTGTGATGACAGCCGACAGCACGCACCGTTGTGTGAATTTGTTTCCTGAGTAGTGCTGTTCATCGGTTATCCCTCTTGGAACAAGGCCTGTATGACTGCCTGCTACCCAGCAACACTCTGGCCTCTAATTTCCTGAACCTGGGCTCAATTGCAAGCGCAAACTCAGGGCGCAACCGCACCTGGGTCTGTGACCAAATAAATGTATGCAATTTTTGGCAACCAGATGCCAAGTCCTAATTCTGGTGTGGCTCAGTAAGTGGATTTATAATAATGACTAACTCCATCTTCTCCTCTTATCCTTTTTAAAAGCAACAGACAGTTAAATAGGCCAGGAGGAGAGTCCAGACCACTTCTCTGTTCTCTTAGTTCCAAGCCACAAATATAAAGCAACCCAAACAGTAATATACGACACCTTAAATATGCTGTCTTGGTTGACTTTGGGTTGGCTTCATAATAACTGTTTCATTTTGGGTCTCATGTGCTGGATTGAAGAGCCAACACAAGCTCCATTCTTTGATGAAAATCATGTCCTTATTTGTTTTTCACTGTGTACTCTTGGCTGCTATAGTTGTGACCGATTTTCACTGCCATGGGGATGATTACAGGGTGGGTTAGATGCAAATAACTGATGTGTAAGCTATGAATACTAGTGTGTTGATCTGCAAAAACACAACCTTAGATGTACCACTATATTCTGCACCATAAGTATGTTTTGTATATTTGTATTACTTTTTATTGTACTTCTTCATGAACCCAGTGAAGTCAACCTTCAGCAGTAATAACTGAAAATATTTTCCAGATTGCTGTATCTTACTCTTCTCTCCCCTTTCTTCTCCTAGATCTGGAGCCTGATGACAACACATCGTTCTACATCCTAAATGTGGGCCAGCCCCAGTCTATGGTCACCAACCACCAGTCTATTGGCCTGCCTCGTCATGGCATGCAGTCCCACTCGCAGGTCATCAGCACTTCCCCGCGCTTTCAGTCACACAAACCAGGATCTGAGCCTCCAAGCTATGAGGTACACGACTCCAAGTACGGCACCTCCCCCCTGCTGCCGTCTGCTCCCGTGGAGGCACCGAAGGCCTTTGAGTGCCCCAGTATCCAGATCACCTCTATCTCCCCCAGCTGTCAGCAGGAGATGGATGCCAATGAGGAGGATCTGAGGGCCAATGGCCCCGACGGGGAGTACCACGGTGACAGGCCCCTATCCAGAGACCACCTGTATCTGCCCCTGGACCACTCCTACCGGGACTCTTCGCTCAGCCCTAGCCCATGCAGCAGCCTTTCCTCTAGGAGCTGGTTCTCTGATGCCTCCTCCTGTGAATCATTCTCACATGTCTATGATGATGTTGACTCAGAGCTAAATGAAGCGGCCGCCCGGTTCACCCTGGGCTCCCCTCTTACTTCCCCAGGCTGCACCTCCCCTCAAACCAGCGGCGGAGTTTTGGAGGAGCAGCCTCACTGGCAGCACCAGCACCCTGCCTTTGTGCACCACTCCCACTCCATCACTCTGTCACCCCGACAGTCCCCTTGCCACTCGCCACGCACCAGCGTCACCGATGAAAATTGGCTTAGCCCGCGGCCACCTTCCAGGCCCTCCTCACGTCCCACCTCACCCTGTGGGAAGAGGCGCCACTCTAGCGCCGACATCTGCTACCCCACCTCATTGTCTCCTCATCACTCACCCACACCCACACCAGGACCTTCACCTAGGGGCAGCGTGACGGAGGACACCTGGGTTGGCAGTCCTTCTGTAGGAATGTCACCGTTCCAGTGCTGCCCTTCTGAGGCAGACATCCCATCCAAGACAAGGAAGACCTCACAGGACAGAACAGCAATGCAGACTGGAAAAGGGGATCTGGGGCTAGATGACCAAGGAAATATGTCTCCTAATCTAGACTCCCCTTCAGATGAGGCCCTGCACAGCCTGAAGAAGGATGGGCCTGGGGAACAGTTCCTCTCAGTGCCCTCTCACTTCTCATGGAATAAACCCAAGCCTGGTCATACTCCTATATTCAGGTAAATGTGCTGATGTTGAGGAGAATAAGCAGAAAAAAAATGGATTTTTCTAGTAACAATGATTCATGCTGACGTAGACAACTAGGGTTTTATATTTTCAAATGTCACCAAGCACTTTCTCAACTGGTTGAAAGAAGTTTCTGTTGCAATCAATTTGTTCTATTTTACTTCCTGTTTGAATTTGAGAAAGACTTGGTGACAGTCATGACTGCAATATTAGTGTGGAATAGATTCTTGATGCATACATCCTGAAACTTAAATGTGTTTTTAACTTGGAGCCAAAACCCGCTGTGGCGATAACTGCCTCTTTATCAGTATTTTTTGTGAATTATTGATGCAATCACCACTTGGCAAGACAGCACATGTCATCAATCTTAAAAGCAATTAGTAGGTCAAGGCTAAACAATAGACCTCAGTGGTGAATTGTTTTGTATAGTGTTCAGGGCTGTCATAAAGATTGAAAACCCCTTTTGATCTAGGAGAGAAGTCTAAACATGGCAGTCCAATAAATTAATATCAAATAGCAAGGTAGATAACTTATAGGCCTGTTGATGGCACTCTGCCGATCAATGTTCAGCAAAGGGGGAACTTTGAGCTTTGTATCAGTAGTATAAATCTGTTACACAGTAGAATAATACAAGTTTTTTAGTGTGTAAAGGGAAACACAGGGACACACACCACACCAACTCCTCCAAACACACGCACACATGCAAATAGACAGGAAGAATCTCTACATTAAAGAGTGATGGGTGCAATCAGAAACTCATAATGGAGTTTTTTTTAGGAGAGGAGTCGGCTATCTGTTCTCCAATGTGTGCAGCAGATGAAGGCATGGCCTTGTTTGTGTGCACTGGCCCCTAGCACTGTAAATCAGCACAGGGCACATATGGCAAGGGGGCCACCACACACACACACACACA